CTACCACCTGCTGTCAAAGACTGCGGAATGCCACTCATAACAAACAACACCACTTACCATACTTGTAATTTATGTTATCATTTTTGGGAAAGGGGTTTGCTATGTAGTCCAGGCTGGCCTCCAATTCATGATGCTCCTACCGCAGCCTCCTGAGTACTGGAATTATGACATTGACTGCCATGCCTGGATTTAATTTATACTATTTTGACATCATTTTAGTCAGATTTGGAAATGAGATTAGCTTTGGTAACCAAAACTTTTAATCAAGTTGTGAGTTTCCCCATCTCTATTGTGAGCAATCAGAAAACCGTTTTCTCCTTGGTGCTCGGATTTAGTATAGGGTTTAGAAATAAAGTAGGGGAGCTGGAGAGGTAGTGCACTGATGCTCTGCCAGAGGGCCTGGGGTTCATACCCAGCGCCTACGTGGTGGCTGAAGCAGAATGATCTCCAGTTTGAGGCCAGCCTAGGCTACAGTGTGAGACCTTGTGTCAAAAAAAATTTTTTTTTTTATATAGGTGTAAGTATTTCTTCCTCATTTGATGATAATATACAAACGACTGGCTATAAATATTTGGAATTGTGTTATTAAATTTAAACCAAAGGGAGAGAAAGTAAGTTTTGCAGTATCAACAGTTCATTTTTCTAATTAATGAATATGAAGAATGAAAGCAATGACAACTTGGGGAAAAAAGCAAAACCAAGGCTAGGAACGTGACATCGAATAGCAGTCAAGTTCATCGGTACATGGCTCAAAGTCAGGGCACTTTCCCAAAGATGCGACCTTAGCAGTCTGTCCTTGTGCACACACTATAGAGCACAGTTACAGGAACTAATAAAGTTATGACATTACTGGAGAACAAACTCGTTCGTTTGAGCTGGAGAGATGGCTCAGAAGCTAAGAGGACTTGCTGCTCTTACACAGGACACAAGTTCAGTTCCTAGCACCCCCAGCATCTTATAACTGCAGCTCAAAGAGATCCATCACCTTCTGTCCTCCAAGGGAGAGCGCGCGCGCGCGCGCGCGCGCGCGCGCGCACACACACACACACACACACAAATAAATCTTTTTTTTAAAAGGAGAACATATACTCTTACAGGACTATCACTGTATATGCAGTCTATCAGCGACAAAAAGCATTGTCATCAAGTGATACATGACTGTACTTGGGATGCACACAACTAAATGGTGGTTCCCGTGCTTTTAGTTTTGACTGTACACTCATTTTCACAGAGATCTACAAGTTTTCCACAGCCCTGTGTGATCTGATCACTGCGTATGTTATCCCGTGCCACTTTTCTTCTTTTTCAGCTCTTAACTACAATGACAACTTTCTGCACTTAGAATCCTGAGTTCTTTCCTACTACAGGGCTTTTGCACTCTTTCCTATGTCGGAACCATTTTTCCCATTGGTTACTCTTTTTCATACTGAGATATGAACCCAAACACCACCTCCTACAAGAAGAGTAAAAGCCCTGCTGTCAGCTGTCTCCCTTATAAATCCTTTAAGAGTCTGATGTTTGCCGCTCCCCAGTCCACGGAGGAGAGGACCTGAAACGCTTCGTTGACCACTCCCCTCTTCAGGATTCAGACCGGCGCCCAGTCTTTTAAGCAGCAGACTGACTGGTGGAGGTGGTGTCATTAATTTGCATTTGAAGGGTGAGGGCCCTGAAGCTCATAAACTTGAAAGCGACTTGCCCTAAATCAGACAGCGTAAGGACTCATCCTGGCCAGACATGGCTATACTCTAGCTCCCATGTTAAGTATCAACCCGTGTGGCAAAAGGCGGAGAGAACACATGGCCTTTCTTTCTTCCTCATACCCAGAACGTCCATACAAGTCTTGCCCACCCTGCCGCCCAGCCCCTGGCTCTGCAGGTCCTTACTAGGTGGGGATGAGAAGGCATTTGAGGAGAGTCACTCCGAGAGCCAAAGCCGAAAACCAGTGACCACTACCGGCTGCAGGAGCGAAGGCCGCCATTCCCGGGGTCCCGTCACTTCCGGGACGCTGCGCATGCGGGGAAGGCCTTTAGAGGCGGCGCCTGCGAGCTCCGCGCATGTGCTGACTGCTCAGGGCGCTCGCCAGAGAGCGCGCCAGCATTTGAACCTCCAGCCCGGTCTGCGTGGTCTTCTGCAGGGAGGACTCAGCTGCGCCCGCGCGGACCTTTGTGCTGACATTTATTCATTCATTTATTTTGGTTGTTGCTAGAACGTGCTTCCACTCAAATAGTGCCTGACTGTCTGCTTTGGGTCTTGATTTTTGGTTAGTTTGGGATACCTACGTGAGAAACCCCCCAGACATGTTCAAAGTGGTTGTGGGGACAGTTGTTATCCATTACTACATGGATGAAAGTTGTTGAGAGTAAGAATACCAAAGGCCTTTCGGAACCGGAAGTTAAGTCTGGGTACAGAATGGTCTGAGCAGAGAGAGGTACAGAGCTGAAGACCATTCTGATTCGAGCAGCGCTGACCTAGGCTCTCAATGCAGCACCTGCCCCAAGCAGAAGAGGCCAAAGTCTAGCACTTGCCACATTTTTTGTGTGGTGGTTAGTTCATTCACAATGTAGCTCTGGCTGGCCTGGGACTCACAGTAATCTTTGTGCCTCTGCCTCTGGGACTAAAGACTAAAGGCATGCATGACCATGCCTGGTTACTTCTCACATTTAATTGCAAATAATCTGGGTAGCTTGTGAAAACTGACATTGCGATTCAGTGGGATGTCCAGTGCTGCAGGCTCACAAGGGCTGAGGCATATGCAGAGACATTGTTCTAGTCTCTTGTACTACAGGGTCTTGGTCAAATTACACTTTGGCTCCCTCCCTCCCTCCCTCCCTCCCTCCTTCCTTTCTTCCCTCCTCCTTCTCCTCCTCCTGCTTTATAAGGATAAAGTATTTTATCTCAAATTATTATTATTATTATTTGGTTTTTCGAGACAGGGTTTCTCTGTGTAGCT